ATTTGGTATTCTATAAAAACAACATTTATCAATGTGGTTAAATTTTTACATTTCCACTCAGAGGTATAAATAAATCTGTGAAGTTAGTCATTCATCTACTATTTCATTGATTATTGCCATATTTCAGCCTTTTTAACGTCTATTTAACCTAACAATTGATATATACTCTACAAGCACTTGGTAGAGACATTGCTACATTTAAATCAGTCCCCCTGATAGGATCCTCGTGCGAGTAAATGTAAACAGGAAGTATCTGATATACTAGGCATTTGTTATGAATATTCTCTAAGTGCTCTTATACTGATATATTACAAAAACTCAACTGAGATTCATTTTTACATGAATAAGTAGCCCACCAACGTCTTCTATCTGTGGTTCTATTAATGGTATCAAAACTTCTAAAACAAATACTTCTGGCATGTGATAGATTTTCCGAAATACAAGGATGGATTTGTTGGATCCCTCAAAATTCTATTGTTTGATGCTATCCTTCTAGTGAAATAGGAGTTTTGTTGTTTTCACAAATAATTAGTAGGTATTTGATACTTTCTTGTCGTAGAATTACCTCTTTTCTAATATCTAGCATCAACAGAATGGAAATCCAGGCCCTGAGACTAGAGCAGAATATATCGAGGCTTGAGGCATATACAATGAAACACTTCGATCATCAGAGGATGCTCATAATGCCAAAATAAGATCAAAACTCGTTGAATGTCCTAAAGGATCCCGTTCATTTTGGTCCTTCCCCAAAGCTGTAGGAAGAAACTTCACTTCCAGCTCGTTTACTCCTCTAACCAAGGAAGATGGAACACTAGCTACAACTGCCCAGGAGAAAGCCTACATTTTTGCGCATTTATTTGCTTGGAATTCCACTCTGGATTCATCGGGAAAACAACCTCCAAACATAACGCCAATTGACAGTCATATGCCCGAGATCACCTTTCGCCAACGTACTATAAGGAAGATTTTATTGGGTCTCAACACCAACAAAGCTTGTGGCTGCGTCGGAATCCCACCGATTGTTCTCAAGAAATGTGCTCCCGAACTAACACCTATTCTCTGCAAGTTGTTCAACTCCTCTTACAAATTGGGGATATTCCCGTCCAACTGGAAAATTGCAAGAGTACAACCAGTTCCTAAAAAAGGCGAAAAGACCCTACCTAGCAACTACAGACCGATCGCATTGCTATCTATTATTTCAAAGATCATGGAAAAAGCTATCAACATCGAGCTCATGAAATACCTGGAACATCATATTAACCACCAAAATGACAGTTGTTGAAATAACCCCGCTCTTAGTGAATCGTGCCGATTGAGTAGCAACAATGTTGGTATACCAAAATGGATCCTGAAGGGACGATGGATTTGATGGATATGGTATCAGACGGTAATGAAGCGATCTGTCTGAGAGATGACTTGATAGATGAAGCCACCTACACTACCAAGTTTGTGAAAAATTTCTTGATACCAAACACGGTCGATTGCTTTCGATATCTTACGTCACACCTAGATACTTCAAGGTTAATGTTGATGGCTAGTTCAAGGTAACTCTTGAATCTACATTCCTCAGTAATCCATGATAGTTTGGAATATCCTGAGCTGATTTCAACAAAATCAAACATTACTTTCATATGATTGCATTTTTCTCTTGAATCAGATACGGTCACCCTATTCTGTCCATCAAACCTCGAGTCAGTATAGCATGGCACTCAAAATATATCTATTATAGAATGTGTTTGCTTTATGTCAAAAACATACGATGGTTCATTCATTTAGTATTCACTACTGACCTGGTTTTTCATTATAATATCGATTCTTGATGGGAACGATTGATATACGTGGCACACAATGAAATAAACATTTTGAACGGAAAGCTATTATGGTCAAGCAATTAACAACATTTGAATTCCATATCAATAAGGTAACACTCCGAAATAATAGTGGCTTTTGATCTGCAGGTTCCATTCTACTGATTATGTCAATTGCAAGAGAGATCATCCCATTGTTGATTCCATACTATACGTTCTAGAGAGTAATTTATCAATCTATCACATTACCCCTCGAACGATATATTTGAGTTATACAGTTTATTGTTATTCAGTGCTTTTTTCATTGTCCCATTTATTTTTTGAACTAGTCGACTCAAAAAATTTGAACTTGGGATGATGAAGTTGATGCATACATACTATATTTTGGAGTGAAATTTACAGATGAAAATTTCAAGATGGCGGCTGGGTGCCATCTGGAAAAAAGTTGAATGGAAAGAGGGATTCTTGTGACACATTCTTTTGGTGCTCCAGACAAACATTCCACAACGGTAGAATATATAGTCAATACCTTCACCAACTACAAAATGGCGGAACTTAGTTACCTGAACACGAAAACATTAATATTTAATCATTGAAGAAAATTTAACAGGGAAATTGTTTTTGATTATGCTGAAAAATAGTGTTGGCTCTCTAATCGCAGAAATCGTCGAAGTAAATCCAAATGAATTCGATATGGATATTGTATTGTAACAAGATGGAACACAACCACATTACTCCAGACAAGCAAGAAACTATTTGGATAAAACTTTCATCGGTCGTTGGTTTGGTATTGTCGCGATCCTACGGAATGGCCAGATCGTTCACCAGATTTGACATCTCTAGACTTTTTTATAGGGCTATTTGAAGTAAAAGGTGGACAAAACTGAACCTGCTTCAATATTGGATATTCGGCAGAGAATGATGGATAATTGTAAAAATATCGACGTAACTGTGTGCGAAAATTTTCAGCCTGAAATATCGGGTGTTCTTCTGTCAAGGAATTCAAGGCAACCATTTCGAGCATCTTCTGAAGTGAACTCAGCTTACTTCCTCAAATTATGAAGTGAATCAAATTATGAAGTGAAACGTCGATGTATTCAGGTAATTATTGAATGTTCCAACATTTTGTAGTATAAATGAAGATATTGACTTTATAGTCTATGGTTGTGAAGTATTCGTCAAGACCTCCATTCAAATTGTTTTCTCAGATTGCGCCCAGCTGCCATTTGGAAATTTTCATCTGTCAATTTTACTCCTAAATATAATATTCATGCATCAATTCCATCATCACAAGTTCAAATTTTTTGAGCTGTCAAAAAATAAAGGGGGTGGGAGACATTAAAGAAAAACGCTGTTATATAGCAAGTTGGTATACGTTGAAACTGCAACTACTGTAAGATACCACCAATTTGATGACTTGATTGGCATATTACTGGCTGCTCGACGAAAGTGACGCTATACCTACTGCATGACCAAAGTAACGCTATATCTACTGAATGACCAAAGTGACGCTATACCTACTGCATGACCAAGAGTGACGCCTCAGCTAGCCATTTTTTATCCAATCAAAAACTTCAGTTGATCTCATCCATATCTCGAAGTGGTCCAAAGTAATTTCAATAGAAAAGCAAGCAAAACAAAGTCGGTCGATCACACTTTATATAAAACAATTCAATCACATGTAACCGGTTTCGGCACTACGGCCGTCATCAGACAAGAGTACCTGAAAAATGTTATATGAGACAATACATGAGAAAAAATTGAGAATAAAACATACCACACAATATGGGGATCAAAAGTACCATTATTATAAAATAATCATGGTGATATATTTGTGAAGATTTTTTTCAACAGGTATTCAGACTTGGGCACACGTATGAAATATAATAAAGAGCCAGAAAAAACTGGCTCTGATGAGGTTGAATATTTAAAAAAATTGATAAACTCATAATAATATGTAAGCGACCATATCAGTATTCAGTACTTCAGTACGCTACGGAACTATGATCCATGATAAAATGAAAGATGGAAAAGACATTGACAGTTGAACACGAAACAAAAAATTACTTGAATGACAGGTCCTAAAAGAACACAAAAGTAACACAATGAAAGAAAGTTGTGAGAAGAAGAGAACTAAGTGTATGTGGAAAAGCAATAAAAGAGAACAGGAGGAGAAGAAGGAAAGGAAAAAGAAGCATATGAGTAAGGTGAACCGGAGAAGAAGAAGAAGAAAATAAACTGACACTTTAGCATCACAGTGGCAGAGCAATGACTGGGTAAATGGGACAAACCAAAAGGAAACATGAAAATAGCAATTATACGTTCAAAATTAGTTTCATCATCGAGACTGATATGGTCGCTTGAATATTATTATGAATTAATAGAAACATTTTAAAATTTTTTAATTGTTTTACCTTATCAGAGCCAGTTTTTTCTGGCTCTTTCGTATATTTGAAAGAGGTGCACATGTGCCCGAGTCTGATTACCTGTTGACGAAAATCTTCACAAAAACATCACCAGGATTGATTTATAAAGGAACTCTTGATCCCCATGAAAGAATATGCATATTGTGTGGTATGTTTTATGCTCATTTTCCTCTTCATGTTTTGTCTTATTTAACATTTTATATGTACTCTTGTCTGATGGTCTAAGTGCCGAAAACGGTTACATGTAATTGCATTATTTTTTATATAATATATAAAGTGTGGTCGACCGACTTTGTTCTATTCGTTTTTTTGTGATCGTATAACATTTAAAGTGAGTCTTGTGATTAGAGCCTTCCATAGCACCACTATACGGGAAATATTGCCACGGTAGCAAGTCAAGAGCGTATAAAATTGTTTTGTAGTTTGTTTTGCCAGAAGCGTGGTGGTCATTAGAGTAGTAATCCTTCCTCCGAACGAAAAGACCGGGGTTCGATCCCTACTCCAGGTAATATTATTTTAATTTTTTTTCGAAGTAATTAATCGAAAAAATACTATGGATGCCTTTATTGGTTAGGCCGATAGTGATTCGATATTTCAATTATGTTTCTTCTCAGGATCGGCCAAAAATTTTCAGTTTCTCGCGCCCAGCGAGCAGCGAGCGAGGTGCAATATTACCTCGCTATGGTGCTATGGCTAGACTCTAGTAGTCTTGTACACTGTTGTTTCAAGTAATTGTATCGGATTCGTTTTTGTTTTTGGTACTTACCCAGGGTTCGGAAGACAATCGGCCTGCTGCGGTACTTTTTCCCGGCCCACACGGCCGCTACGGTCACCTGGTACTGGGTGTCGGCCTTGAGGCCGCTCAAGGTCACAGCGTCCGAGTTTCCAGCCACCACCGCCACCACTCTGTAACTAACAGCCTGGTTTATTGGAGCCACACCAGTCAAACGGTTCGAACGTATTTCATAGGTCTAAGATGCCTATTTCACATAGGTCAAAAGGCCTCAGTCGCAAAGGAATCAGGGTGTCCGGAAAGGTCATGTCGTAAATGATAGGGCTGATAGAGTGAGCCATAATAATATTAGTACTTCAGAAAAAAAAGTCCGGTAATTATAATAAAACAGTTATTTGTTTTACTAGGCAGCAAAGTAGTATACTGACTGATAGTTCATAGCTGAACGTAGAAAGGCTAAGAATTCTGCTAATGCAGTCAATCTACTTTGCTTCCATGTTAAACATATAATTTTTTTCTCCAAATGCTATTAACCTATTTTGTGTAATTTTTTGATTGAAAAAGCTATCGTTTCAGCAATTTCATTCAAATCACTTGGAACGTTGCATAACAACAAACTTTTGTTGCCTAGGCAGAAACAGTACATCTTTGCTACCTGTAAAGTGTCATAGAGAAGCCACTTTCTATGCTGTTTGAAGAAAAATAACTATTTTACAATGACGTTGATCTTGGCCTGAGTTCCAAGTACTATAGGTACTTTTATATTACATAAATAATATTTCAAGGTCAAGGGCCGTGGCTGTGAAAGAGCCATGTAGGTCATGATGACATCGTTCATCGTCGAGAGATTGAAGTCAAGGTCATCAATTGCTGGCTATGTCAGATGATTTCCAGTAAAAAACGTTGACCTTGGTTTATATTGAGGCAATATTTCCGAGTTTTCAGTCTAGGTGATGATTGAGAGACATTCACGTGAGTACTATGAACTTTTATTACATGGCCAATATCTCAAGGTCGATGGCTTTTGATTATAACATCTCTCAAGGTCGAACTAATGAAATCAACATTATTGAGATTCAGGAATGTTTTTCCTATTGTTGAATGTCACAGCAGCGTTATCTGATGATCTTGAGTATCGTCATCAGAAAAGCGTTGACATTGGTCAATATTGAAGGAATATTGCACTTATCTCATGGAAAGTCTATCTTATCGATATGTTTGTAATTTATTTTTTATGATTTTATGACATCTACAATGAATCCTGAGTATCAAATCCTTAATTCATAGATACCTATGTATTACAGAAAAACTTTCACATGATTGTTAACGGAATATATTGATAGAAGTTATCTTGAGTAGCCCTTATGAGACACACATGTATATTTATTTTTTGGACAAGTTATACGCATTCGTGATTCTGTTGACTTCTATGTTTGAAACAACCTGTATTGAATTGGATAGACACTCCAAAGATAGGAATACAGCATTATCGGAATGTGTGAACTCATTTAATTTGGCCGAATAATCCATCAAATATCACATGGAAATAAACAAAATTACAACCCTTACAACGCTGACCACACCTGATGACCTTGAAACTCTCTTCACTACTTTCAGGCACGTGTTTCAATGGAACACCCATTTTTTTGTCATCGAATGAAAAACATTCAAAACAATCACGAGTTTTTCTTCCTGGCGATATTTGGTGGACAAATCTGCTCTCAGGAATAATGTAACACTTTTCTTTTTATAGCTGATATCTGGCGATTCACTAAGATTTACTAAGATTTTCATTCTACGAAGTGTTTGAGCTCTGTTTCTAGAGAATTTGTGTGCCACTTCATTTTCCTCTACTCCGGAATGTCCCGGAACCCATAAAAAGGGTGACTGTATACTGCAGTTCTGTTGGCTAGCTCGTTAATTTTTTCCCGGCATCCCCAAACCATTTCAGAGCTCATAATAACTGAGCTCAGCGCTTTAATGACTGCTTGACTATCGGACATGATAATAATATTTCTTCTTTCATGGCTTCTTTCTAGATTGAACTGATGTACACATTTTCTCATAACGTGAAATTCCGCCTGAAATTATCTTCAAATGCCACCTAAAAGGAGAACTCAGGAAATGGAAAGGGATTGAAAAGTGCTCCTACTGGACTAGCAACTCCAGGTCAAAGACAGGCGAAAAGGTTCATCAACCATTCGCAGAACCGAGCCAAAGAGCTACTCAGCCTCAGCAAACCAGAGCTAAAACGTATCACAGGCTTTCTCACAGGACACTGCCCTCTGAGGTACCACCTCAAAAAGATGGGCCTGGCGGAGACTGACACTTGCCGGTTTTGCAACAATGCGACCGAAACCGCGGAACATATACTTTGCTCATGCAAAGAATTAGTCTGAATCACTTAGAACTGGTCTATCTCACACCTGCTGAGGTGGAAAATTCAACCATCAGGAAAATTCTAGGCTTCATCAGAAGTCTAGGGTTAGAGGACCAAAACTAGATAAGGGTAATCACAATAGATCTTCTAGGTCGCAGTGATGGAGAGGCCTTCCAGCCTCTATGACTCATATACAATCTACAATTTTTTTTTAGGAGTTTTCAGTTCACTAAGGGTTTTGAAGTACTTGGTACGAGGCTCGTAGACTCCTGTTTCAGTTTCTGTTTCATCTTTGTTTTTGGAAATATCTATAACATGTCGTGGGTCATCTCACGTAATGACGTATCTCATAAAAATCGGAATTTGAGATACTTCGTCAAATGACTTATATTCCCATACTCTATGATTCCACAAAGTGGCGTAGTAATGGTCATTATTTTTCGTGTAATTAAATATCGAATACTCAGCTTATCTCAAATTATTGGATTACCAAATCTTACGAAGTGACCTAACTTTAGGAGTTACGTCAATACGTGAGATATATTTTTATTATTTGTTGAAAATTCCAACTGAGAGGGGTATTGTGAGGTTCTGTACATGGCGAATTAATTCTTTGTATTTTATCAATAAAAATAAATATTTGGATCTGATATTCATTCATTCACATTATATTGATGACGTATTTAAGGCCACATTGACTAACATGATCTCACGTAGTGACGTATATCACAAACATATTTTTTTCTACGTTTTTAGCGATGCTTTTTCATACCAACCAATTCTAGTTCTTCCTCTAATGAATAGAAAAACAATGATCTTTTATAAAGAAACCTCTGATTTATGAGCGAATTAAGATGATGAAAATTTTTAAATTGCACTCCTGTAAAGTTGAGAAAACTGAAATACGTCATTACGTGAGATGACCGTCGATGTGTTGACCTGTGTTTTTTTCATCTTTTCAAGCGCACGAAAGGAAATTCGTATAATTTCCGAAAAACATCGTGCGTACCTAGACAGGACAGGGAAAGGAGGTAGGATTTGTAATTTTTTTGGAACTCTTGGAGATAAGTTCTTGGAAATACTTCCTCAGGCAATGAAGTCCAGAGCTTTGGCCGTTCTATACTGAAACGAGTTTTGTTAAAGTGCTGCTTGACATATTTCGAGGTTCACAACGAGAGATGTGCTGACTGCGCATGTCGAGTTCGTCTGACTGGCATTACTAGTCATGGAATGAAAGCAGATATTTCTGAAGAACATTTCCCTAGGAAGTATCTATACGGTATTTCAATGATGTCAAAGTGTTAGTGAGTGTGGCATCACCCACCAGGCGAATGGCTCTTCTCTGGATGGAACCTAAGATCATCAGAGTATGTTTGGGTGCTGAACCCCATATGTGGGAGCAGTATTCTAGAACATGCCGTATTTGTGCTTTGTAAATCATGAGAAGCTGATGAGGTGTAAAGTATCATTTCGCACGGAATAAAAATCGGAGTTCTTGTGAAGCTGAATGAAAGAGTATTCCTGATGGAGACACCGAGCATAGATATTGTTGACTTGGTAGGAATGGTGGTACCAGACATTGTTATATCAGGCATACTGTGTTCCGTCTTTCTAGAGGAAATACCGGCTTGACTTTTGGCGGCGTTGAATTCAACTAGGTTGTTGGTTTTCCAGGCTGTGATTTTAGCAAGATTTTTATTCACAGCATTGACTTGCCTCCGCCGTGAGTTCTTAGTTTCTTGGGAAGAAATGGGAATTCTGGGAAAGAACGCAGTATGGAGAGTACTATTATCTGCAAATCTGTGGATAGGAACAATAGCCAGAGAATTCTACAGCTTTGCCGTTCTATAAACGGATGAGTTTTAGTAAGCTGCTGTTCTACACATATTTCGAGGTTGACAACAAAAGGATGTGCTGACTGGGCCTCTCGAGTTCATCTGACTGGTATTGCTAGTGATGGAATGATAGCAGAGATTCTTGAGAAACATTTTCCGTGGAAGTATCTATAGAAAAGTCGTCGCCGACTCTTCTACGGTGTTCTGATGAGGTCAAAGTATTAGTGACTGTGGCATCACCCACCAGGCGAATGACTCTTCTCTGGATGGAATATAAGAACATAAGCATATGTTAGGGTGCTGAAACCCAGAACAGTATCCTGAAACTGGCCGTATCTGTGCTTTGTAGATCATGAGATGATAGAGCCCAGAACCTTGATCGTAATATTTCAGTGAATAAGTGCTGTGGAGTTGTTTCCCTTCTACAACTCTCTTCATTATTTTGGTACACTGTGCCAACTCCTATAAGAAAGTTGAATCTTCCTGGTATAACTTTCAATGCCATTTCGTTTTGGATACATTCATCATTGTGTGCTGTGGGGTAATCAGGAACTTCTTTCGAGTATCCGCAAAAAAAATGATGACATCGCAGAATAATAATGCTTAACATAATATTAAGCACCTTCGGATGTTGCGATCGTCTGGGAGTATTCAAGAGACAGATTTATGCTTAATAAATAACACTGTGGAGCACCAAGGAGACCTCATTTTTTATTTTTCATTCATGAATTTTCGTATATTACGATCGATCATTAAAATCCGGGAACTTTCTTGCTCTAGATTCAATTTAAAGTTTTCAGTAGCATTGGGGAGTTTCACAAAGTTTCGCATTCCCAAGTACAAATAAAAAGAAATTACAAAAAATAGGTTGCCTGGAAAAATGTCGGAAAAGTGATTCTCTTTCTTATTGATGAGACAGTTTCCAAGTAGTCGAATACCAGAAATTAGAAACACACTCGAACTTATCAAATCCGAGAAATGTAAACAGCATAGACAGGAATAGGGTCGCCTGTTAGATGAATATGGGAATTGGAACTTGATGTTCTGGAAAATATGCGAATAAATATTTTGTTTGATACAGGCGACTTCAGAATATCAACTGAAGTATGAAAAACCTCATTCATTTCATATTATATAGATTTTTCCGGAACAGCAATAGATAAAGTGAGTGATATAGAAGACATGAAAAAACAAAACGAAATGGAAGTACAGTTTGGTCGAAAAAAAATTTATTTGGCAGATATATTTGAATTCAAAATTTGCCTGGAATCATAAATCATCAGCTGAACCTGCGTTTGTTTCCGGAGGTATCAATGACTTTTGCAATGATGCCGGATGTTCCATAATGATTTGAGAGTATATGGTTTAAGGTGAGAGCGAACGTTTTCCTGAAACACCCAGTATTGAATGAATGAAGTTAAAATTATCCTTCCTGATGAAATGTGTGGAACTTCCTATGAAAATAATGGCGTAGCTATAGCATTTTATACGATATGGTATAACAAATGATTGAATTATTGATCAAAATTACACTAAACGAACAATTTCTCGATTTTTCACAGATTTCAAGATGATTTGAACACTTTAGTTCGATCTAATGTTCATGGAATTAGCTGAGAATTTGAAATTCATGAGTAACCAACGTAACAAACAAATCGCAGTTTATAATAATTTTCCTATTCATTTAATTGATCGACTTTACTTGAAATATACCAATAAATTTTCAAATAACTTTCAACCACGTCTGTTTCAAAATCCGAATATTTTCCCTTCATTTGGTTTTGTTCCCCTTGAACTCAGGAAGATTCTGGAAAAAAACTCAATACCAATAATATCAGTAATTTTAATTTTTCTTTCAAAACTGCCAATACTCTAGGGAGTGCCTTAGTCAATACAAAAGGTGAGATTGCTATTCTAGAAGAATCTAGTGTTTATGAATAGATTTGTAAAAATGATGATCGTAAAGTGTGATACATTGGTCAAACAGGTCGCAAGTTCAAAACCAGAGTATCAGAACACAATCGTATCATAGAAAATAATTTTTCAATTCTGTTTCTGCTAACCATAATATCAATGAAAAACACTCTTTTGATTCCAATTCTAACATAGAAATTTTACATATCTGTGATAAAGGAAAAACCTTAACCTCCTTGTAACCCTGGAAATTGATAAAGCTGTCAAAAACTCTAACCTCAACTGCCTCAATGAACAAACTCAATTCGATAGCCTCAAATAATTCAACTCCTTATTATTTCAACTAAAATTCTGTTCTGTGTTCTATGTGACTTTGAGATTAGTTGACGTAATTCAACAAATTCAGACCCACATGTTGATACAAAATTAGCTCTTATATTTGATAATGTCTGTTTCCTAACAGTTACTAACCCGTACTATGAGCGGTTAAAAATAGTTTTTCAAATACCTACTTTTTTTCCACGAATGATGATAGATACATTCAGGAACGCACTATGTTCTTTGAACATTATAGGGATTCCCTTTCGTGCGCTCCAAGCGATAAAAAAATATATGCGTTGTTTCCTCTCACTGATTTTCTTTTTATAAATTTGCTGATGATTATTATTAAATTGTTTATGTGGTGGAGTTGTGACTGTAAGTTCTTTTACCCCTCCTGATTTATCAAGAGTTTTGAATCTCAAATTATGTTCTTGTTATTTTCAAATTTGCAGTCGTATTCTTATATGCTTCAGTAGGTAGATAACTACGGTGGTAGCTACCTTTAACTACTGACTGATTGATATGTGCACTTAGCCGTAATTCATATTCTCATTCAAGTTCTCAGAGCTTTGATCTTCTCGAAAAAAGTTTATCGAACGAATCTTAGCAGAGCCAAAATTATGAATGATGTTCAACCTTTCTGCCATGGTCTTCTTTGACGAACTTGGATACAAACATAACCAACTGAGGCAGAATCGAATAATCCGTCAAATAAACACTGCGATTCAATGTTTCAAAAGAAAACTCGCCCAAGACCACAGACAAACGGTATTCCCTTGATACATTTCTCCCGAACTTTTGTTGCCAATAATCGTTCGAAACTTTTTTCTTTGTCAAAAGCGAACAACAGATGATGCTCGCTCGTCAGAATGCTGAATATAAGATGTTCGTTAATCTGTTTGACTCTGACGCTCTAGACTGAATATATTTCCATATTTTCCTGCTCTGCTGGATCGTTCACCTTTGCTGAACAACCGATCAGTTCCTGTTTCCTCCATAATATTCCGTCCATGGCTCCAGAAGGGTTGTTTGGCTTCATGTTTTATTAATTCGTGGTGCGAAGTTCCCATTACGGTTCAAACAGGGATGCAATTTCATTATACAACCTTAATATAATCATTAAATATAGACTTCTTCACTGAATTCATAATAACTTCTTTGTCTCTATTAGTGCAGTTTCCTATAAATGTATACAGTTCCGACTGAAATCTGAGACATCCTGTATGACATATTGATTATTTAAGGCGTACAACGATAATTCACAATTTTTTTTATTAATGCTCTAAGAATATCGTGCGACAGTTTCCGAGATCCCAATGGTGGCCCTCGAAATTGAATTACCCAGTATAGTCGGTTCTCCTTTTTTTGTTGAAATCCTCGTGATAAGAATATTTGTTAGGAGAAATAACGAAAAAAGTGTATATACAGGGTGTAATTCAATTGATGGCTGAAAATATAGGATATGGTTCCTCAGCTCATTTCAAGAAGAAGAGTTCATATAAATATATGCCATAAACCTCTTAACTTTCGAACTATAGGGTGTTAGAATTTTATTTTCTCTTTTTTGATGAAAGAAACTTCCACAATGTAAAAAACTGTCACGTTTATGAATACTTGTCAAAATAATAACGCAACGTAATCGATCAAATTACATTATTTCAAAAACAAAATAGGGCACTATAGCCTTTTAGTTCAGAATGATTCCCTTATGCCACAAATGCATTGTTGAATTGTTGCAAAATAAATGAGGATTTCAAAAAGAGTTTTATTCTTGGAAATATCAAGGGCGTACAACTTTTCTATTTCAAAATCTTGCCCCCGGTAGCCATATTGAAAAATCTCTTGCATCGAAAAATGCCTATTGGTGCTTAGTAGGTGCCCGTCAAATTTCATGAAAATATCTAGCACAGTATTGCTAGAAGGTTAAGAGGTTTAGGGCATATGTTCTTCTATGAACTTCTATGAACCTCTCTTCTTAAAATGAACACAGAAACGATATTCTTCATTTTCAGCCTTCAATCAAATTGCACCCTGTGTATGTACCCTTAAAAAAGCGTCCAACCGTTAAATATGCGTGAGGAAATTCATTTCAGCAGAATGAATTAGATTTCGAGTATAATGAGATTCACAGTCACAGTGGACGAGGGTTCATTAAGAAATGCATCTGCATAAATCTGAAATTATAGTGCAGGATGTGAGAAGCATGAAAATTTAGTTTCATCATCCGTGAAGCTTCTTGAGAAGTATAAAATATGAATTTATATATTTTTTAATTGACTCAGCGTTACTTGATGGAAATCCATAGCAAATGTAAAAACTTCACAAACAACAAACGATAAGATTTCCACAAAGTTCTTAACCACAAGACATGTTTCGTCAACACAAAAGCTTCTTCAGGTGAAACAGTAGTACAATGAATTAAAGTAACCTTGGCTTGCCTAACTTTAATATATCCTACTTTCCCAACCTGAAGGATTAGATTTATACCTGTGGACAGGTTCGATAAATTTCATTTTCGTACAATTCGCGATAGAAAATAAGCTTACGCCACCTATCAGAGTTGTTGAAAGCTGTCAAAGCTGCCTGTTTAATTTGTTTTTATTGGTTCACATTTGTTTTATGTCAATGCTTGTTGGTCAAATCATCAAAACAAACCGCTCAGAAGTGTGCAAGTTGTTACCGTCAGGTAGGGCAACATGTTATTTTCTATAGCGAATAGGCACAATATCTAAATTAAAAAACGGTGTTCTGGATTCATTTGAAAGGGTTGACAACAGTGGCCAACTATTGAGGTCTAAATCAGGAGGGGTGAAAAAACTTACAGTGACAACTCCACCACATGAACAATTCAATAATGACCAACGGTCATGGATATAAGTAAGGACATGTTTCGAAGGATTGATCCTTCATCATCAGCAAATATATCAAAAGAAAATCTGTAAGAAGAAACAATGCTCTTACAGATTTTCTTTTGATACATTTGCTGATGATGAAGGATTAATCCTTCGAAACATGTCCTTACTTATGTCCATGACCGTCGGTCAGTATTAAATTGTTTTCCTCCGATTGGCAGCAAATATCAATTTTGCTGGCACATATCGATCAGCAAAGTGGTCACTTTGCTGATTGATATGTATCAGCAAAATTAAAAATCCATAAATCGTTTATAATTTCCTTCATATTCCATCCGAGACTCCTCCGGCAACAAATTCAACTCTATATTTTTTGCCACCTCCCTTATTAATGGAGGTGTAAGTATACTTCCAGGTGGCTATCACTGTCCATTATATAATAATTTAAATATACCGATATTTTTTCGCACAACTGTCAGAAATTTCATGAATTGTCAAACCAACAACTGCGATTTCTATCAAATTTTATTTTAATTGAACACTATACAGGAAGAATGAAGAGATTGTGGGAATTGTATTAATTCGCAAAAACAATATTCTCCCATATCATTATGAACAATCGGGGAAAAAATTATATGTTCAAATCGGCAGCAAAGTAGATTGACTGCCTTAGCTGGATTCCTAGCCTCGCTACGCTCGGCTATGAATTCAGCCACGGCAGTCAATCTACTACTTTGCTGCCTAGTTAAACAAATAACTATTATGTGGTGGAGTTATGTGACTGCAAGTTCTTTCACCCCTCCTGATTTATATCACCTCCACTGTAAGTTATGGATCACCTACGTTGGTTATTGAGGTCTAGTTGATCGGTAAGTACTCAACGATCATCTAGACCTCAATGTTAATCCAATACACCGTATTTTAACGTTGATATTGTGCCAATTTTCCAAGAATGAAGGTTTATCGAACCTGTCCACAGGCAACTAATCCTCTAGGTTGGGGACGTATATAGGATATAGTTAGGCTAGCCAAGATTAGTTTAGTTCATTGTAATAGTATTTCACATGATGAAGCTACTGTGTTAGCGAATGATTGATTAAGAATTTTGTGTAAATTTTACCGTTCGTGGAGTTTTTATATTTTTGTATTTATATGTTATTTCACCGAGGGTATGATACAACTGAACCTGTTTCAGTTGGAAATTTCATTCCATCTTTTTGAATTATTAACCCAAAGTAGTCTACTGTAACAAATCGTTTTTTACTCAGAGCTCTGTTATTCTTCTGGATAATCAATGAAATCCAGCATCAACGTTTTGTGACTCAATTTGATTGCTCTAGATTGCTCTTTGCAAAACTAAGAATGAGAATTCGCCACGAAAATTTTCAGACCCATTCTGCAAGCATCTAACGATGAAAAAAAAAACAGGTTAAAGCAGCAAATCTAGATTTCACTTCACAAATATGGTATGGTCTGTATTGTCTGATCATTCATCAAGTTTTTGATCCCTCATTCAGGAAAAAAAAAACAATTATCATAACATTCATTATTTTCTCTCCTCGATTCTATAAAATGAATATATGAATATTATTTCAAGATGTAGTAAGGACAAATCAGATGATTTGCCCCAAAATGTCACTGTCAATGTTCCTATCACTTCACTTAGCTTTGGACGTTTCGGGAGCGAATCTGCTCCCGTTTTCAAAATTTGATATTTTTTCTATATACCTTAATTTTTCTTCTCCAAACCTTTTTCAATACGAATTGTCACTGACAAGCTAGTGAATTTTTTTTAGACTCTCTGATAGGAAAATTCTGTAAACGCAGTAAAATTTTGAGGCAAATCATCTGATTTGTCCTTACTACACGTATATGAAATAATATTCATATTTTCATTTTATAGAAACGAGGAGAGAAAATCCCAAAAAATGTGGAATTGAATGTACCACCTCCTCGATTAATCTACATACAGTATTTATCATAACATTGTTAACTCTACATCAAAGACATTCAGATCTTTCTCCTGAAGATGCTAAAATAGTTGGCGATACACGTGTCGAGGCGTAAAAATCGGTTTGGTCTGTGATGAAACAGTGCGTAGTGTATTGTTAACTCTAGGAAGTTTTCTAGATGAACCTGTTTTTTCTACATCCAAACCTAGTTCAGATGAAATCTGAATCCCCAATAAAAATGGTTGCCAAAAACTCAGTTTCGAACGTATTCTTTTCATAATACGATATCGCTTTTCCTTAAGCGTTACCATCTTGTTGGTTTGAAGTTTCCTTCATCTGCATGAGTTCGATTAGTGCATTTCAGTTTGTTTTGAGAATAGCTAATGTAATAGTTACTGTAAACATGAAAACAGCTACATGCATAAAGTTGGTAAACTCTCGTCGATACTTGTGAACACATGTGCGTTTTCCATACTTCCAGCTCAGTTATTACTAATTTTGCACTGAAAATTACCACAAATTAAGGGCTGCCAAACAAACCTTGACTCGTGAAAAATAAGATAAGATACATGCAGAACTTTGTTTCCTCCTGTATCGTGAAACTTGAAATTAAGATCACACATTCCTTAAACTGTGTTAAGACTCGAAAAAATCTTGATTAAATCTTTCATATGGAAAGGTGAGAATGTTCGTATCCCAACGTGTTCCAGTTGAAGAAAAGGAGAAAATTCAATTGAAAAAGTTTCGAATTGAAAAATAGTATGATACTCATAGTTAAGTATGATATAATTTCGTAGTGGTATTATTTGATTATTTGATGAATGTTGTGACTGGCGCCTATTTTACTAAACGTTTGGTATTTACTACCGACTATTTCTTTGAGTGAATGTAGAAAATTGCGATTTTCTCATTAGGAGTACCATTTTCCAGTAAAAACCTTCATTTTTTCTGTGACGGGAAAGAAGTTTGGCATTTCATCTCTGTTGGCAGGTTATAAAATGTCACTTTTCATAAATTACTTTTTTCCCGTGGGAAAAAAGTGAGTACTTCTTTCCCGGATATATATCACATATATATACTCTGTTAATGGCTTTTGTTGTGCTATAGTTCCGAAAAATAAGTCAATAATACCGTCTCCGAGAAAGAACTGCAAGTCCTTTTATCTTCCATTCGACTTCGCGGTTTCGTATATTACTAAACAACTACTGAATTCGCAATTTTTCAAAATCAAATCA